AATGCATTATCTTCTCCTAATCATCCTACATCCAGTACATTTTAATAAATCTTGAGTTGTGTGAGGCCACTATTTTAGACAAATTCCTCAAATTGCAGAATAACTAACAATTGGAAGAAGGAATGAGCAAAATAAGAAATAAAAATAGAGAATATGGAGGCAGTGGACGGAGGGGTGTAGTGTGGTGGTTTTTCTGTAGATCTAGAAGGGAGAAAGTCTTACGTGTCGAAGAAATTAAAAATGAAACAAGTATTTAGGATGCTAGCGACAACTTCATTTACAGTCGACTCATCGAGACTAATTTTGTTGATTAGGAATAGGAAGCCCGTCAGAGAAGAAATGCCTCCATGGTCAAGAAGCTCTAATGGAGGAAAGGAAAACTATCATCATTACGAAGTAATGAAGAGGAGGAGTGACGTGGTGGCTATGCACATTTGATGTTGAGCGACTCCACCAACTATGCCCTAAGCTAATGTGGAAGGCAATTGTTGTGGTTCTTGGCAAAAGAGTTGTTTGATGAGAGCGTGCAAGAAGAAAAAGTCTCTTGCCAAAGAAACCTAACAAGCTTAACAAACTTATATACCTAAATAAAGAAAACCCAAAATGAGAACTTACCTAATAAGAGAGACGAGAGAGTGAGAGCAACTACACTACAGGAGCGCGACCAACAACCATGGATGTCACGGTGGGACGAGACGAAGGCCACCTGAGCAAAAACGTTAGGAATGTAGGGAGAAGAGAAAGTGAAAAGGGTAAAGAGGAGGAAAGCATAGTTGCATATAGAAGGAAGTGAGAAATGCTCGGAAATCCTAAAGGGAATAAGAAAATTAAACATAGTATGTCAATTCTAAGTCCAACCAGTTTAGAAAGTCTATGTAATATATTACCAAATTTTCACCACGTCAATTTTTATGCCGGTTATAGGTCAAACCAATATAGAAAATCTTTATAATTTATTACAAAATTTCATTTGTCCATTTTCTATGTCAGTTTTAGGTTCAACCGGCATAGAATGTGTCATCATATTTATAATTTTATCACTGCATCACTTTTTTTAACAAAGTATTTGTACAAGTATCGGTTAACAAAGAACCGAGACATATACGTTAACGAAAATTTTAAAAATGCCACCGCGTTATATTATGTTTCGGTTTCTGGTCAACCGAAGCATAATAGGCGCGTTAATATCTTTTTTTTACTAGTGTCTAGACCAATGCTTATAATAAATTAACTTTTTTCTTAGAGTGGGTTTAGCATTAACATAGTCTATGCTCGTAGAGTCACTTTCTCAAGCTGACACAATCAGTGAATAACTTTCATACTATTAAGATCACGATATTAAGGTAGACTTTTAATCGACTCAAAGACCGAAATTGTTTTATTAGTATCGACTTTCCTTCCTTAGGGTGAGTGTTTTAGGATACTATTTTTATTTTTATTATTGTAGTGATCTTTATGCATTCATGATTACAAATAATTATTTAATCTATATATTCAAATTTGAAGATAAGAAATCTATTTACCTATAACTTTACTATCTCATTTTTTATATAAATATCATCATATCTATCTTCTTCATTCATATTCATGATCTCTTCACATTCTTCTCCTTTAAACATACTTATCTCTTCTTCACTCACATTTATCTCTTTCATCTATACACACATTTTTTGCATCCATATTCACTCCATCAGTACACATTTTTTTCGTCCACACATGTATCTTCTTCATCACATTCTTTTCTGTCTTCTTCTTCCACTGTAACTATAGTTTCTATTTTTTTCTTAATTTATATTTCATTTTTGTTAAACATTGAGGAGGTACACTGCACGAGAATTTTTCTTAACTTATTGTCATTAATGTAAGTTATACCGACACAAATTAAATAATTATTAAAAATAAATTTTATTTAACATTGACTTAGTCAACATTAAATTAAATAAATTTTAAAATAAAAACAAATTAACTTTGATATTGAATTTTTTTAATCAAAAATAGTAATTTAAAATTAATAATGAATCAGCGTTGATTAAATAAACACTATTTAAAGAAAAACCTTAAAAAATCCATAACAAATTAGTTTTCTTAAGATTTTAGAGTTGCATGTCTCATCAAACACAAATTTAATATTAATAATTATTTATTTTTACTGTTTTTATTAGCCTAATATTTTAACCTATGTTAAATATTTATTTTTTAATATATATTTGTATATCTTATGAATATATATATATATATATATATATATATATATATATAATTTTTATTTTTACTTCTTTTCGTATATAGTTTGATTAAAAGGAAATAGGCACATGAAATCGTGCTATTAATAGATTTGATGAAATAATTAACTAATGAAACATTTTGTACTTTGGTTTTTTTTAATTTATAAAATATATTTTGATATCTTATTTTTTATTTAAAATGAAAATATCAAAATTGCACTTTTATTCATTATGGTTTAGTAAATTATAAGTAATTTTAATTGTTTCCTCATTCATTTTAGACAGATCTTACATGGATTGAATTTGGTTAAGAAGTAAAAATAGGGCTAGGTTTTCAGTATCTTAAAAGAGAAAATATTGCACAATGTGAAGAACAAAAAAGTCAACGAAATATAAATGATATTTCATTTCATTCGTTTCCGTTCTTTGGGTGTTTGAACTTCTTCGTTGAAATCTTCTTTTGTTTTGTTGTTCTCGAATATAAATAAATAAAAAATAAAATATGATTTTTGTTCATAACAACTATAATTTGTTAATTAATTGACGGATGAAGCTTTTTAATGCCATTTTCCTCATTCTAGGTGAGTGTTGGTTGATTATTAACATGTTTTAACTGCATATTAGCCATTACAAATAAAATCAACTCAAGATTTGTTCAATTGGAGTGAAACATCAATGCTACGAGCTAATAATGGTTCATCCAAAAGTCATGAAATTAAAGTGTTTTAATTGACCTGCTATTAATTAAAGTCATATATGAAAAATGACAAATGGAACGTGTCAAACTCCAGGGTGAGGCTGCTTCCAAACTTAATATCTGTCAAAGTCTTCAAAGATTACTAATATCAAATATCTTTCACAATTTAATCAGTCTAAACTCTACATAATTGTTTCCATCTCAAAAATTTTAGATTATTTATTTAAATTACTTTTAATCTTTAACCTTTTAAACTATATGAGGTTATTGGATCTATCTGAATAGTAATATTTTTACATTCTGATTCAACATTACTTGTTTAATTTGTTTTTTCTCATTTCTTCTTATTCAATATACATGTAATTTTCTTAATTAAATTCTAATACCAATTTAAACTTCTCTACTAAAAGGCATCCACAGACAAACTTAAATTCTCTATCCATTTTGTTAGAAATGTCACACACAGAAAAATTTCTTCAAATTTAAAAGTATTAAAACTAGTGTTCAATATCTAGAACACTTTTCTCTTAAATAAGCAACGTTTGTATATAAGTATTGTCATTTTATTTGCACTGATAATAAATATACTAACTATGTTGCTTAACTTTAAGTAAACTACAACTGAATTCCACTAGAGATTATATAAGCTTTTAATAAATTTTAACTCGATCTTAAATAAATGTGTAGTTATAAAAAATTAATAGTATCAGTTTATATATAAAATAACTTATGATTCACCTCACCAACCTCCACATGATCATATATATGTATAACCAACAATGAACAACCATATATTTAAATTTTTAAAAAATGTAGCCATATAAACTTCTATTGATTAGTCCATAATCATAGATTATTGGAGATTAGTCAATGTGTGTTTGGCTGTACCTGGCCAAGATTTTGCAGAATTGAAGCATCAAAATTAATTCATCATTTGACAGCTCTGACGGCTTTGAAAAAAAACCAAATTTAGCATTGTGTACGGTGTACTTTGTTCTAAGATTCAACCATAAAACAAAAACATATAAGTTGCTTGTGGGACTAATTTATTAATATTTTTTTCTTGTGTTAGTGGGAAATCCATTCCCTCTTCTATGTCACTACCACACATCATCTCTATAAAAAGATCACAGCACATGTAAGACTCACCCACTTCTACTTGGCACAGTTCTTCATTCTTCACCAAAATCTTGCCTTAACTTAACCCTACTGTCATATACTATCATGGATATCTATGCTAACACATCACAGTTATAGTTTCGTCTTCTCTTTTTCTCAAGATCTTTGGCAGAAAGTGAAGAAAATTAAGGAATCAAAGGCTTGTTCTTATGGAAATAGGAGAAGAAAGATCCCTGGAAGAAACTGCAACATGGGCTGTATCAGTTTTTTGCTTCTTCTTTCTTCTAATATCTTTGATCATTGAGGGTAGTCTCCACAAATTGTCTGAGGTAATGTTCAGAATTCCAATAGAAAATGCATTCAAAATTTCAATAAAAGTTTGTTAATGATATTAAAAAGAACTTCTGATTATAAATTCTTTAAACACAATTCCAATATATATAAGAGAAAGAAATTATAGCTTTAAAATACGTGTTTTGGTTCATGGTAAATATTTAAAATTGATTAATTCTGACCTATAGTTTTGGCTTATATGCTCCAGCTTTTAAGGAAAAGGAAAGGAAAATCACTAGGGAGGGCATTGACTAAAACAAAAACAGGTATGTTCATCTCTGGAATTGACTTTGTTATTAATTATTATCTTCTATCTGCAACTTGCATGCATTAAGATGGAGAGTTCATTATTAATTTTATGAGAAACAAAAAACAACTGTGATTTTGATGAAACGCTTATGAATTTAGTATTGTTGCTGGTTGAATCATAGAAATGATGAAATTCGGTTTCATGTCCTTTCTTCTCACCGTCATGTCGGAAGTGCCAATATCGAAAATATGCATCAACAAGGATGTGGCAACATATTTTCTGCCATGCAAAGATGCTGCAGAATTAACAGGGTTATCAGCTACTCGTACATCACCCTCAGAATTTGACGTAGCTCCTGCAACAAACGAATCTGAAGTTGAGGTCAACTACTGCGAAGCAAAGGTCAAACAATTTAACTTAATTATATTTGTTAATCATTAAATTTTAAGTGTAATTCAATTTTAAGATTTACACCCATTTATTTATTTTAAATTCGTGACATAGAATTTTCAATAATCAAGCTCCTTAAGTGTGTAGATAAATAAATATATAAAAAAAAACTGCAGAAGATGTTTTATATCCATTCATCAAATACATACCGTAAGTCAAATGCAAGTAATAGCATAATCTTTAATCATATTATTAATTAAAAACTATAAAATAAAAAATTTGTTATGATGACGTGCAGGGTATGGTTAGTTTAATTTCAAGTGATGCAATCCTGCAACTGAATATATTCATCTCCTTTCTGGCTGTGTTTCACATCTTGTTCTGTACATTGACAATGTGCCTCGGGAAGGCAAAGGTATGTCCACCATTTTCAATAATTTGAAAATATGAAGGAAGAATTTGTCTACCCATAGCAGTTTTCATAACACGTAACCTGAAACCTGAGAAGAACCATACACTGGCTTTTCTATATATTGTAAAATTTTCAACATTATTTCTTATATCATTATCAGCATATAAATTATAGAGTGCGATACTATTTACTTAGTCAGAAGTACCAACTGTCCACCATTACACCTAAAGCCAAAGTTTGATTATTCTCTTAATATATATTCCCTCCTTTTATTTAATTTATAAACACAGATTTATATTTCTAATATTGCATATACTAATTTAATACTACTTATTTAGAATTTAATTAACAATTGTATTAGTTTAACCAAAATATTGTGCCAAAGTTAATCAAAATATTGTGGTATTGAAAAACAATTAATATATCATATGTCCCCATTATAACAAAAAAAAATTGAATTATGCAACCAATTATTTTAACTTATTTAATCAATTAAATTTGATTCCATACACTGTCATAATTGATCATAAGGTTGGTAACAATTTAATTTATGTAATATTTGGATTATAATTAGCATATTGGTTATTTAACTAACAATTATACTAGTTTAAACAAAATATTATACTAATTTAACCAACATGTGGAAATATAGAATATATGTAAGTAGAATTATTATAATCCCAAGTTAAATTACATCCAAACAACAATGATGATTAAAAATGGCAGTACACAACTAAGTTTATTCTTTATAATACCCATTTTTTTTATTATTGTATAATGTGCAACAAATATAAATTGATCAAAGAGCACACAAATGTGAAAGTCAAAATTGATTTTGCTTTAGAGACCAAGAAAATCTTACATAAGCTATGTATATATATCTTTGTTCGCATATCCATTTTCACCAATTTGTTTCAACTAAATTCATTCAAAGACCAAATGGGGTTTGACTGTGATTAAATGATAATTTTCCTTTTGGAATATATAACCAATGTTTTCATTTTCTTTCTGATTTTTTAAAAATAAGTTTACCATTTACATTTTTTACAATTTTTATATAAAATTTTCAAAATAAAAGATTAAATGAAAATAAGATGATGACATTTTTATAATGGAAAGCAGGAACAATAAAGTATCCTCTCAAACTAGACATCCCATGGTTAAAATGAATTTTCATTTTCTAATAGGTTGAAGCAAGTAGGAGGATCTAAGAGGAAAATCTATGTACCTATATTCTATAAATAGGTTGCAGCACTCCAAATACTTCATTATATATATAAATATTTATTTGTCGATAAAAAGAACTTGTGCAATATTTAAATTTATATATTCATCTTAAAATATAAAAGCTTTATAATTTTCATATATAATGGTATATAGGCATCACAACAAACCTATTAAGGGTCATCATATTTTATAGTAATAAAAACTATTGGAAATTTGAAGTGCAAATTTAAGTTGTACACTAATTAAAAATGAAAAAAAATTAAAAAATCATACAAAGAACCATAAACTTATTATCTTAAGTTACATTCAAGTTTTAGAATAATTATTCATTATAGTTATATACGACAGATACTGACACGCACATTAAACCCAACACATATATAGACACTTACATGTGTAATATCTAAGATTGATATGTTCAAAATCATTTACTCAAATATAATAATCTAAACATATTATTATCTAAAATGAAAATTAATCTAATGCATCTATCTAATATCTAAAAAGTAAAAAGTAACATGATTTAACATTTGTTGTTTATTTCTATATTCATAATGAAAACTTATGCAAACAAATTAGTGTTTTTAAAGTGTCATTATGTTTAATTTTATTAATATTATGTTAGAGTTATGTGAAAATTATCTAATAGATAAAAGGATATCTTTTAAATTAGACACTTAGTCGAGTATCGGTATTCTATACATGTTGAGTGTAGGTACGAACCATTATTTTGGAGACATGTCCTAGCTTGATAGTATTAGTTCAATCCACAATTGATATTACTATTTTTTTTTATTGACAGATGAGAAGATGGAAAAGATGGGAGGAGGAGACTCGAACACTGGAATATCAGATAGCTAATGGTGACCTAAGTTCTTGATTTATTTGTCATTGTAGAGAAACTGTACTTAGGTTTTACAAGAAAATTTTATCAAATGACATTCACTGTTACATAGTGTTATTTACTTTCAATCCTCCTTAAACTTTCCTTTTGCAGACCCAAGAAGGTTCCAGTATACAGGTCAAACAACGATTGCAAAACGTCATTTGAATTTCTGGAGTTATCATTCTCCCTTGCTTTGGATGGTAAGTGAAAGTAAATGAAAATTTAGATGTAATAGTTATCATTCTCTCTTTCTATTTAATGTCTTCCCTTCATATGATTTCTGATGTTAGAAGAAGTTTAAACAAGTAAAATATCTTCAATTCTGATGTTAAATATTGCTAGAAAACCATCCAAATATTCACCTTATTGATTAAAAGTTATGTTGGTTCTATAGGTTTGCTTTATTCGGCAGTTTTATGTCTCAGTCTCAGAAGATGATTACTATACTCTACGAAATGGGTTCATTGCAGTAAGTGAAAATCATCTATACCAAGTCTCTTACTAGGAATTCATGGCACTGTTTGAGCATCAAGAATTTAGACAAAAGTTACTGTTTATAGGTTTTGGCTTTTCTGGAACGAGCCTCATTATAATAAAGTAAGTTATCAAACATTCTTATTCCCTAGTGACACCAAACAAGGCTTTTTTTCTTTGCTGAAATTGCAGGCTAATGTTTCTTTAGGCAGCAATTTCAACTTCAAGAAATTTCTTTCCCGCACTTATGATGAAGATTTCGAGAAGGTTATGGGAATCAGGTACTTCCTCTATGATCAAATCAGAACAAGGTTCCTGGTCTTGTAAACAACCAGATTCTGCCACCTCATTATTTATATAGCAGATTCTTGTAGTTACAAAAGATTAAATTTCAAGGTCGAAAAACTCACAAACCCCAGCTTTTGATGCTCTTGCAGGATTTGGATCTGGATTTTCTCCATACTTTTCATCTTTTTTAGTGCACATGGTATGACATGTGGCATTAATATCTCCCTAGTATACACAGCAAGTTTCTCTTTTAAATTATATAATCAAACTTATAAACAATCTTTTACATATGATTTCTTGAAAAGTTTATCCAAACAAAGACTACAGTTTTATGGGATAAAAATAATTTCTTTTGCAACAAACCATCAGTGTTTAACAAATGCTTTCGTTTTTCTTGCAGAGTTCTATAATTACTACTGGCTTCCATTTATTCCACTCATGGTACACTTTATCTATTTCACACAATATTGTTCATCCCAATAACAGACATGTGATTTTTATTTTTTTGATTTTGTCGTGACTTGTTTTCATTATGTTTTGTATTTAAGGTTGCTTTACTAGCTGGGACAAAACTCCAAGTCATAATAACAAAGATGTGTGTAGATAGTTGCAAGGCAAACCCAGTGATCCAAGGAAGTCTACTTGTTACACCAAGTGATGCCCATTTCTGGTTTCATAGACCTGAATGGCTTCTGCATTTACTCAAGTTCATCCTTATCCAGGTAGGTATATATTATAACAAACATACCATCGATGAAATCATTAAAAGTATCATCATGAACAATAGATGAAAAGGATTTTGCTTATGTTTAAACATCCTAATGAGTCATCTGTTACTGTTTTTGACAGAACTCCTTTCAACTTGCATTCTTCACCTGGACTTGGGTAAGTAATACTCTAGAGAAGTTTATTTTTTTGTGCTGATAATACTCACAAACAACAGTATGAATTTGGTCCAAGGTCTTGCTTCAATAGAGAAAATGAGGACATTGGCATAAGGATTGGAATGGGTATAGCTGTGCAGCTTCTTTGTGGTTATGTCACCCTTCCCCTTTTTGCACTTGTTACTCAGGTAAATATAAATAAGTCCTTTAGATATTCATTTTACTTGCTGTTTAATTTGTCAATTATTACGTAAAATTTACATGTAACTGATGCCAATATTAACAAGGGAGGAGAAATATTATTCAAATACTTTCATAGAATCTCTTAGTAAACATGACACTCACATTACATTGTCATTGTGTCAGATGGGTTCTAGCATGAGGAGAGAAATTTTCACTGAGAGTGTTTCTATGGGCCTCAAAAATTGGCACAAAAGGGCTAAACAATCTCTGCAGAACAAATCAACCTCAAGAAAACACTCAGATTCTTTGCATTCCAAAGGAGGTGACAATTCAGCAAGAGGAACAATGCATAGTTTGAACAACCCAGATATTGTAGTGGTCACAAACAACCCTTCTCCCTCTGATGAGGGAAAGAGCATTGCTCCCACCAACAATGAGCAAGATGTATCAAGTCCTTCGACTTCAGAAATCACAGCTACTGAGGCAGAGAATTCCAAGATCATCATCACCAGAGGAACCTATGACGGTGAGATCTCATTTGGTAGCAGCTGGAAGAATGTAGGAAGTAGCAGAGGCATTAGAGACATTGTCTCAATAACTGAAGAAGATGACGCTGAAAAATTACCCGAATTTATCCATAGATAATACATATGTAACATGCAACATTTATGAGCCATCACTAAGAAACTTTAGTCCCTTGCTTATCCCTTGTTAAAGTGTCAACAACATCAATTACCTACTCTTTAATTTTCTACCCTTTCTTCTGTCTGCCTGAATTGAAAAATAACACCAGCAAGGAAAGTTCTCTCTCTTGTTCTAAGCACTGACTTTTCTCTTTCTCAGTTGTGTACTTTTTCTTCCATAGATGACACTTTTCAATTAAAGGGTAGAGAAAGAGACGATTGAAAGGGACAGGTGATTTGAATCCTTCATAACATACTAGATATTCATTGCATCATGTCAATAACTACAACTATTATTCAAATTGACCTAGCATAATTGAAATTTAGTCCAAATATATCAGTTTGTTTGAACATTCCAAGTTGGAAAGATATAAGTGGAATATATTCAACTGTAATGGGATATGAAGCATCTTAAGCTCGATTAACTATGTAATAAGAAATCAAATTAAATGTTCATTTATTTAGTTTAAGTAGAAATGTAAGATCTTTAATAATAGTTTTTTGAAAGTTATATAATTTAATTTATTTAATAGAAGATAAATTATTTGGATAATACACAACAAAGGATGTATTTTTTATTAGAGGTGTATTTTTAGCATTTATATAAATCGCTAAAATTTGAAAATATTTTTTTAATTATTTTAATTGTTACAAATTTTATATTAGTTTGAGAGTTGGGCAAGGTGTATAATTTCAAATTTGCTAAATACTCCGTAATGCTCTCGTGAGTTTTTCATATTTCTATTTTTTTTTTTTTGGATTGTTTTATTCTCTTTCTTGGGTCTCTTTTTCTCTTCTAAATTTCAAAGTTCTTTCTCCTTCACCTGCATCTTCATTTGTTTTAAAATTGTTACGGGACAATGTATTGTTTTTGAGGATGAGACTTTCGAGGATCAATTAGTTAGAGCAACTACTTGTAGGTTCCTTCTTCTTCAACTACATCTCCATTTTTAGTAATTTTGCTTTGAGATTTCTGCTTTAACTTTTTTTTCCTAGTATTGTTACTGTGACGGGTTATTTTGATTATGTTGTTTTGAGTTATTACTCGTGGAGATGAGAGAACGAGAGTTGAACAAGAGTTGTATTGGGACAACATTTGGTTTTGAAATTTAAACAGACAATATAAAACGAAGCAGTTTTAAATATGCTCATAAAAGGAAAGCGATATAAATATCAAATGCTAGGATAAAACCACTAAGTCTAAGGCCTTGTTCTTTTGAGTGGATTTGAGGGAGTGGATCTAAGGGGATTTGAAAATTAGATAGATAGAAACAACGATAGAAACAAGATTCCCAAGTCATCCATCAACATAGAAACACTACAAAAAAACAATTATTACCGACGACCAAAATCCGTCGAAAACGTCCAAAATTCGTCGATAATGTCATTTTTCCGACGGTTTATCGACGGAGTTTGATCCGTCGAAAATAGCGTTGTCGGTAATATTTATCGATGGATTATTATGGCCGTCGGTAATTACCGAAGGCCAAATCCGTCAGTAATTACCACAAAAATCCGTCGATACTTACCGAAGGAAAAAGCCGTCGGTAAGTCTGTTGGTAAATATCTCGATCTGGTTCATCTTCTTCCTCTTTTCCCTTCTTCGGTTTTCTCAGATTTTAATTTTTTTTTATCAAACTTTCTTCATTCCTAAATCAAAACAACAATCCAATTCATTCCAAAACCAAAATCAAAGGCTCTACTTAGGTTCTCCAATTGTTTTAGAAACCCTAAAGTTGGGAAAAATCCCCAATTCGTTTTTTAGCATCCCGACGGCAGCACTACTCTGCATGGTTCTCCGACGGCAGTGGTTCTCCCACGACAATGGTAGCGTTCTCCCATGGCAACGGTGGCGCTCCCCAACAACAGTAGTAACGCTCTCCAACGGCAGCGGTGTCGCTCTCCAACGACAGCGATGGCAGTCTTCAACGATAGCAGTGGCGCTCCGCGTGGTTCTCCCACGGCAGCGGTGGCGTTCTCCCACGACAGCGGTGGCGCTCTCCAACGGCAGCGGTGGCACTCTCCAACGGCAGCGGTGGTAGTGTGGGAAGATGGTTTCACGAGAGAGAAAAATGGTTGTAGAGAAGGTGAGAAATGTTCTTGAGATGAGAGGAAAGAAAAAATGACGAAAGTGTTTTGTGAGATAGAAAAATAGTCTTCTTCGCGCAGAGAGAGAAAAAATGGGCGGGAATTTTGCCACTCTTTTTACCGACAGAACTTGTTCGTCGATAATTACCGAAGGCTTTACCGACGGCTTTTGATCGACGATAACTAAAATATGTATTATCAACGGAATTACCGACGGATTTTGTCCGTCGATAATTACTGAAGACTTTACCAACATATTTTGTCCATCGATAATTACTGAAGGACAAATATTCGTCGGTAATTACATTATTTACATCTGTCGATAAAATCCGTCGATAATGCATCCTTTACCGACGAAAATATTTCCGTCGGTAATTCCATGTATTTTTGTAGTGAATAAATCTTAGAAAAACAAGTAGGATAAAAGCTTCCAGACACAACACTAAACGATCCATAAGTCAAAGCGTCGAAAGAGATTTATGCTAAACGCATAAGCTATCTATACCTAAGGGTATTCAGTTAAACTCTAAAGAAGGAAAAAGGTGTCAAGACAATGTCCCTGACCAAACCCTCTATAACTATAAAAAAGGTTAAGAAAGAAAAGATAAGTGCTAAACGCTCAAGCCCTTAAAGGCAACATTTCAAAAAGTATTTACATCAACCTAGACGGTACCATAAGCTAAAATCTTTACTTCGTCCAACAATGAAGTTCCAATTTAACGCTTGGTATCATAGAAAAAACTTTATTGATAAACGCTACCTCAACAGTAGAAAATTGAAACAACACTTTGTTGTTCTAAACAAGTATTAAATTTCATTAAATGCTCAACATTCAAAAATAACAAAATAGATAGAAGATATTTGCTGAAATACTACACACATTCACCTGCTTCATCTGAAGTATATCAAAAGTAGACGATAGGTACAAAGAGACATTTACGGAATGTTCTTGTCTCTGGAGAACGCGACTGAGAAACAGTACAACCCACCTCTAGCAAAAACTGAAAATACCAAATAAAATACTAACTAAAAAACGTCTTAAGGCTAAACGATAACAAACACACCCTTAGTAAAACAATAAATAAACATAAAGTCTTGAGTCTTCTGAACAAACATTGAACAACATTAAATATCCAACGGTTGAAAACGTCAAGGTAAATAGAAAATAAGACATACTTGTTGTATAAACATCTATTCTAACTTGTGCAGGATAACTACTACAAGCATTCATCTGTCATACCTTATGCAGATCAAATGCGAATGTTAGAAAGAAGAAGATATAAGAAGGATGATCCTTTCATCAAAATTTGTGCCAAATGAAAAGTCAAACCTGTTTTTGATAAAGCTCTGAAAAAGTGTGTCTGCTTTGACAAAAAAACTCCATCTTACGACAAATACCTACACTGATAGCCATAAGAGATCTGTTGACAGAGAGAGCAATGTGATAACTGAACCCAATCCTTGTTATGTTATTTTTGATGATTACAACACATTAATAGAAACAACACATGAATGTTGTCATGTCACAACAAAAAAGTGTTTTTGTGTTGTGTTAAACATATGTAGAATATGTACATACTTACTGTGTTATATGCACATACTGTGATAAATGCATATATTGTGACAAATGCATATGTTGGGCATACTGTGTTATTTATGCATACTATTGTGATTATGATTTAATTATATTTATGTATGCACACTGTATGTTTATGTGTAATGAAAACCACAAGCACAAAAGCATATTTGCATGACATAATCGATTACAATGTTGTAGTAATCAATTAAGGTCATTAGAGAGCTTATGTTTTGAACTATGGCAAAACAACTAGTTTGAATCGATTACATTAGTTGTTAAATCGATTAAAACTCATGTGTTTGCATATATCTTTTTCAAATGTGCTGTGATGAGTTTTTGAGAAGAAAAGTTTTCAAAATCTGTTTAAGTGTTAAGCTTAATCGATTACATATGTTGTGTATTCAATTAAGTCTGTTATGTTTTGAAAACTGATTTCATGCTAGTCATAACTGCTTTAACGATCATATTTTTAAATATGTTTGACTAACATTAAATGCAAATCGATTACATTAATTGAGTATTCAATTAAGAGCTGAGTTAGTTATAATACTGTTACACCTGTTTTATATAACCGATTACATTACTAACGTAATCGATTACTTTGCGTCTGATATGACAGAAACTATAAATTGACACATTGTTTGTAATTCTGTAGACTTTTTATCATTATAACAATTTCATATGTTATAGTTTTGATCTTAGAAAGATTTAAAGATTGCACATACGCTCCAAGAATCAAGAAGCAAAGATTGTAAAGAGCCTTGACCAATTCTTGAGAGAAGATTCAAGAGCTTTGATATACTGATCAAATCTGCACTACTGAAGGTGTACTTGCTGTGATCAGAAAGGAAATATGCACTTGATGATTGTGTTGTTCCCTGTTCGTGTGCAACAAGAAGAAGAGAGAGGAGCTCTTGGACTTTGAGAGGGGATTCTCAAAGGGATACTACAACAAGACCGTGTGGTGTTGTATGTGCAGGTGTATTCGTTTCTATATTTGATTGTTTGAGTGAGAAATATGTTTACATTGAGAGAGTGTGTTCACTGTAAAACCTTTGGTATAATTCTCCAATCATTATAGTGAAATATCCTTCAATCCGTGGTTGATTGAAAGGGTGACTGAATGTAGGAATTGAGGCCGAACCAGGATAAAAACTATGTTTGATCTTCTCTCCTTATCTCTTTACATTTTCATTGCGTACATACTTTGCTTACCGTGAAAGAAAGATTTCAAGATCATTCTATTTTTGAAAAAAGATTTTAAAAGTGAATGTTTTTATAAATCATCGATTCAACCCCCCTCTTGGTGTTGAGAAACAAGCCTCATAATTTCTAACAAGATCAAATTCCAAGAAAAGCTTCGTCAAATGGTCATATTATCAAATATCAAGACTAGCACCA